TTATCCAAATCTGTCAAAGAGTTTAGAAATTCATAAGGAACACGCAGATTAAAAAGTATCAAAAGGATAAAATCAGGGGAGAGGTTACGGTTCTGTGGTAACACGTAATTTTCCGCAGGATCCTAAATAGTAATTATGAATTTGGTTGCAGATCAGTCAGAGGATTTAGGTTAGTTGGTTGGATGAATACGGTTACACAACATATGGATGATCTGCAATGAGTTGACTCCCGGGAGGCTCTTCTATGAAAAAAAATGGCTCCTATTTAGGTGTTAGACTCATGAAGAAAATCCAGAAAACTCAATGTGGCCAATAGCTGATAAAAACTACCAGTAATCGGTAGTTTTTATTCACTCGGCCATCAGAGAACGGAGGTATAGGAGTTAATAGGACAAATAAAATCAGGGGATGGGATGAGATATCGGGATTTCATAGTAGCCTATGATTTCCTCAGAATCCTAGAAACTATGAGAAATTTAACGCACTTCGGTCAACATGTTTTCTATATGCATGAAGCATGTTTTCTATATACTTCTAATAAATTTATATAGACAGGCATAATATTTATATAGACTACATAGATTTAATATCTAAATATTAAACATAAGATGTCAGAATTATTAGGATATTTCTTATTTGGAATCCTAAAGGATACATGAAAGATGTAAATCATAAATCGTACATATTTAAAACTTAAATTGAAAGAAATATTATTTAAATTACAAAAATTATCTCTATCACAAATATTTAAGATCTTCCACTCATTTAAAATACTGAAAACTATATATAATCATTTTTGTTGTTATAAATATTTGAAGTATTCGTAATTTAAACGCACACACGCACACAAAAACAAAATATATTTCAATTTAAATAATTTAAAGTTTAAAGAATATAAATTCTCATGAATTTAATAAATTTGATGTCTTTAAAATTTTATTCAAAACTGTAACTTTCTGTGTATTTTATTAGATTTTACTGAATAAAAATTGTGTTCAATTAACGTTCGTATATGCATTATATAATGTGGTGTAAATAAATTTATTATTCTATTTAGTAATTGTTAATTAATCAATTAATCAATCAGAAATTTAAAGCCAATTTTGACGATTATCATCCGAGATATATACAGATGCGGTAATTTCTCGTATGTGTTCTATACTTACACAATTATAAAATATTTGCTATTTTTAATTTTTATTATAACTATTAGTTAATTATTAATTCTGTTTCCGACATAATATCTTCGCGAATATAATTTAGAAGAAAACAACTTCTGAAACGTTGTTTGAAAAGTCATTTTATAGCAGATTTGATCGATAACAGGATGGCCGAGCGGTTAAACTGCTAACTCATCACTCTGTGGTCCCGGTATCGAATCCTCAGGAGTTTTTGGGGGTAGAACATCCTTATATGTCTTGTTTCGTTGCCATCTTATTGTGTGCCTAGTCTTCCACAATGAACTTGCTAAAATAAAATTTTACAGAACAAAAATAGCTTTAAAAAAGTAGTTTTCGTTAGAATAGCGAGTGTATTCATTCGTTTTTCCCGTTATGCTTACAAGTTTATAAATAGTTTAAGGTTAAACATCGTAAATAGCATTTGCACAATAACTCATTATACTTATAATATTATAATTTGAAAATAATATTACTAACAAATAACGATCCAAAATTTCTTTACTCGATCGAGCACAAGTTCCTTTAATAATCTTAAATTTTACAATTTAAATCTAAAAATACAGATAGGCCTATATAAATCAGCCTCTATCGATTTAATCATCATATTTAGACTACTGAATACATATTTAGAATATAATATGTATTCAGTATACATATAATAGAATTTAATCATACATATTTAGACTTTGTTATCTTGAAATAATACAACATGCACATTCTTCCATAATTCATTTTCATCATTTGAAGTGTTCTTGCAAACATTATTCGCGAATTGTTCTAAGCCTTTTAGCGCAAGAAAATCGAAATTCATTCTTCTTAGTCGCCTTGTTCGATAAAGTAACGTCGATGTCGATTGGATTCTTTATAATGACTACTCCAATTGGCAATCTTTACAACTTTATTCTATGACGAAAGTTTAGATTATAACGTTAAAACGAAGACTTTTATAACGAAAAATACCAATATGCCTTAAGAAAGAATCAAGTTACTCTTGCATTATTTGCTAGTCTCTTCAGTTATTCCTTAAATATTTTTACAAATCATTAGGCTACAACATTTCAATAAAAATATTTATATAATTTTTAAGAAATAATTAAAAGAAAACTAGCGTTTATCTTTCTCTTTACAGATTTACCTGTCTTCATTTAATTTTAACTTGAATATTCTGACATTTATCCTAGTTAATGATTTGCTTCTCTCTACAGATTTGTGTCCAATTATTCTTTCAATGAAAAACATTTCAATAAAAGTTCATGCGTGAAACTAATACACATTATTTTCTCTCTTTATTTAAATTTAAAATTACATTTTAACTAGTGTAAAAATGTTTAAATATTTCTAATCAGTTATAATTATAGTGTAGTTGTCAATGCTTTCATAAGAACTAAATGACAGCATTGAAGTAAATGGTTTTATTTTTATCNTAAAGAAATTTTAATGTAACAGAAATTTATTTTATTAAAGTTAAAAAATTACATTTTGTACGGGAAATTTGTTATATGACCCTTTTAATAGAAATTAAATTACTAACTTTAAGTAAAAAATTAAGAAGTAAGTGTATAGTATCGAAGTAATTGGATGTTCATTCAATTGTTCAACAGTTAGGGAGTAGTTTCTTATACCTGAATGAAGAAGTTTCTAGAGTAACACTAGTTGTACTTCGTCATTACTAGCGTGTGCAGTATCGTTTTTATACCTCTCTCTCTCCATTTACTTGTGAGATACTCTTGGAGAATTATTGAACATACAGCAGCATAAAAAGAGAAATATGTTCTTTTCATCTGAAAATTTGACGAAAGGATAAAAGATATGCTTTCATCTCTTTCTATTTTTAGATGTTTTTGAATGAATATATCTAGAAATATTAGATTTAGAGCCAATTTGTATATACTTATTTACATAAAATGTAAAAAAAAAAATATTATTTTAATAGTAAAGATATCAAATATTAATGTTAAAGATATCAAATGTGAATAAGAATGATATCAAACATTAAAATAAAAATATAAACTTACTTTTAAAGAGACATAAAACGTTATAGAAACGGTTCAAATATTGATAAAAATAACATGAAATCTTTATTATAAAATATCAAAAGTTAGTAGTAAATATGATATCAAATCTTTTTTTGGAAAGATTATTTTAATATAAAATATTAGCTGTTGTCAAATTTTATAGGAACATCAAATATTACTAAAAATAACGTCGTGTGTTAGGGAAATGGTAACAAATACCACAAAACGATAGGTATTTTAAAAGTATTACTAAAAAGGACGAACATTTTATTAAAAATACATTAAATATTACTCAAAAGTTTTTTTCATAACCGTCGTGGGTTCGGTCAGGCCCACAATGAGAGCGGCCGGATGATGAGGCACATTTCCGAAATTTATCGCTTATGAAAAATTCCTGGGAAGCTGATTGTCTGAATTCGATTCCGGGTCCTCAGGGCAGTAAGCTGATGCCTTCACTGCCTTGGCCGTTCTTTAAGCGTTAATACTAGTATCTAACATTATACTATATAAATTTTATAAGTCTGTATAAGTGTCCAAATGAACATATTGTATATATATATATACAATATGTACATTTGGTATTGATATAGATCAGAGGCTTTGCAACCGATCTATATCAATACCAATCTTTAGCAGATGCCCTTCAAAATAATAACTTACATTAGTTAGCGATGAAAAAGTAACATACCTGTGATCAATTATTAGCTTGTGTTCTAATATATAATATATAGTCAAACCTCTAATACAGGCCACCTCCCAACAACTGCCATTTTTTTCACGGTCGAATAAAAAGGTATAAAAAATAACCCCAAAACAACTGTCATTTTTATGTTCCCGTCAGTGGCTGTTATTTACAAGTTTGAATGTATTAATTTACTATTAATTTAATATCAAATCACAAACATAAAAATTATATTAAAAATGCTAAAATATATATATAAAATAATTAATTTTTATATTTTATGAATATGCCTAAGAGAATTTTATTCGATTTTTCTGAATAATAAAATTTAATGAGATCTACGGAGACAAATTTGATGGTATTGATAATGGAATTGAATCATTCTTGTAGTCGTTTTGGATAGCAAATGATAGATATATCTCTGGTTATTGTAATGTAAAGTCGTCACCTTGTCTAAGAGATATATGGCATGATAAAGCAACATGGCTTTTCAATCCATTCTCGATTAAAATTCTATCTTTTGAGGAAGGACTTTATTAACTTTCTTTATATAAAGAATATTGGCAATAATGCAACTGATTGTCATTCTTCAGAAATATGTCAATATAACCTGTTTTATTATAAATATCTGTAGCGTTAATAATAAGTAATACTTCGATAAGCTCAAGTTCTATTATTACTTATTCTGAGGCTTGAAATTTGTTGTGATTCGAATAATATACCTCTTTTCCACTTGTTTTGCCTTTTGGTGAATTTGAAAAAGTTTAATCATCAATCCTCTCGGTGCATTCCTGCTGCCTTCTTACATTTAATCTCTTCTTCATCGATCTTCGTAAGCCAACTGCTCTTCAACTATCAAAACATGACCGTGATATCTTTTATATTTTCTCTAAATAAATTTTGATGTCTCACTAAATCTAGTATTAAATATAAAAGTAACTCGTTTTAATAGTCTATTATGTGATAAATTATGCTTACAGGAATGATTAATTTATAATTAATTACATTTATGTTCTTAAATTTTTAATATAAGAATATAATTAGTTTAATTGTGTTTATTTTACTATATTATGATAAAAAAATAAAATAATATTTTACTATAATAAATAATATTTTAAAAAGCTGGCGACGTTATTGCTGGACTTTCCTGAGATTCTGTATCTGTTTTCATCTCTAATAATTGCTACCATTAACTTGAAGTCTTCAGATTGGTTCGAGCGATATTAAAGAGGTGAGCCCCATCTCCCAAACCAATGGTTTGATTTTCTTGAAAATTTCTAGAAACATTTCTACCTAATACTCAAACCTCTCTGAAAAATGTCAGAAAATTTCGACAAAAGCTACATGAGTTATTAAATTTTAAAGTTGGTAAAAAAAAATCGTATCCCTCACACACACACACACTAACATCCATATATATAGGGGGAAAAACCCAACTTTTTTGCATTTCTCGACGCTTTAAGGTCCCAAAAATGTAAAATTCTTGGATGGATCATTTTTTTCATCGATCGCCGTACTTCCCCCAGTTATACAATCACCGGAAAAATAAAATACTGTACAGTTAAATTTGCTTTAACATGTAACTTGATCCAATGTAACATCAAATTTTAAATATTTAATCTTATGTTAATTTTATTACAAAATAAATAAACTTATTAAATATTTTAATAAAACATTTTAAAATTAATTTAAATAACTTTTTATCTGTTTATTAACACAAAACACCTGTGATGCGAGTTGAAAATACGACCCAATTTTGCCAAAACCGAGTGACTAATACTGCAAAAGTGACGAAAGTTTAGAAGAGTGAAGTGTGCAGAACCTGCAGATGCCGATCTTTGTATCAAACAGATGCAGCCTTTTTTTTAATAAAGTCGCCTAGAAAGAAACTATTTGCTATCTTAAATAAAATTTGAAGAAAGTAGCGGCATTAATTCTCCTATATGAGTTCAACTTTCAAAGAAATTAATTAAATGTTACTAAAATGGATAACGTGAAGATAATTAAAAAGTGAGTATATTGGAGGATATAACTTTCTAACAACATCAAATTATTCAATTAATTATCTATCTAGGGCGTGACTAAATATTTAAAATAATGAATGAATATACTACATGTTTATTTTTGCAGAAATATTTATGTTTATCTAGAACATTTGTATAATTAATATATTGAGTGATATGAATTAAAATTAGTTATGTCTACTCGACCATTTAATATAGAAAAATGTAGACTTATTTTTAAAAAATTACTTTCAAATAAGATGTTTTTTATTATATATATAACAGGAAATTTACCTTATATTTTCCGCAGGATTCTAGAGAGTAACTGAAAATTCCAGGTTGGTTAAAGGATTTAGGAGTTAACAGTGTGGATAAAATTAAGGGACGGGTGGAGTTCGTTGTTTTATGGTATCCCATATTTTCCGCAAGGCCCTGGAGAGTAAGTATAAAAAATTTGGTGCAAATCGGTCAGAGGGTTTAGGTTAGTTGGTTTGACGAATACACGCAACACACGGGCGATCTGTAATGGGGCGAGTCCCTGGAGGATCTTCCATGAAAAAATAACTCCTATTTAAGTGTTAGACATATGAACAAAACTACATGCGGCATGTCCGTTGTTGAGGTGCGAACCCGCGACCATCTACCAATGCTTAATGGTTCACGCTGTTATAAATACAATAGAGTTTTGCAACGTATTGGTGAAACGCTATAGAAAGATAATCACTCAAATTTTATTACACCGAAGGGTACAATTTTCCTGAAACTCTAACAGAATAATATCCGAGTTTCCACATGGTCCATGTTAAAAATGACGTTAAATGCATTTTGTTTTAATTACAGTGTTAGGAAAAATTTTTTTACAATATATGAAGTAGATTTTAATATTAATTAAACTCAGGAAAATTTTAGTAATTTCCTACTGTACAGATTTATCCAATATATAATGTAGTGGATAAATCTAAATAAGGTCATACACGAAGCTTCAATTGTGATGTTGATGATCTATCGATTTTTCTTTGTTTGATCTTATTTTATAATCACTAATATATTAATACTATTAATAATAATACAGTATATCGAATTCGTAATTTATACTTACATATATATACTCTAAAATGTACAGAAATAGTATAATTTTAAAAGATATAGCAATAGCTAAACCTCTGAAAAAAGTCCACTAAAAAGAGAATAAAATAATCCGGTAACGAGTTGCATAACTTTCCCGGCAACATTTAAAATTTTGGTGGCGTCATCTGTTATAATATTTTATTTTTAAAACTTTTTATGTTTTTAACTATTATAAAATGGCAAATAGCTTAATTTTGAGGGCAGGGAGGGTTTTATCAAAAATTTTAAATTAACGAGTAAAATCCTCATTAAGTCCTACTCTATCCGAGATACACACGACCCCCTTTATTTCTCCACCCCTCGACCATTAATCACCAACACTTATTAGCATCCCCCTAATAAACAGACAACCCTGCTAAATTTCAGAAATTTTCGACAAAAAGCACAAGAGTTATTAAGCTTCAAAGAGGCTGAACAAAATCGTGCCCCCCCCACACACTGACATCCATTCATACAGAAAATCCCCAAATTTTTTTTACATTTCTCTATCTTTCAAGGTTCCCGAGTCCAAAAATGTAAAAATCTGGGGGTCATTTTTTTTTACCTATTGCCATACCTTCCCTCTGTTATATTAAAAATGGCTGTTGTTTAGAGATTACTTTATATACATTTTTGCTTAAAAATAGTTTATGAAAAACGATCGCTCGCGATTTAGGGGTGGCCGTTATCGGAGGTTTTGCTGTATTTTATATATTAAAATTATATGAAATTTTACGTATTTTAAACCTTACACATTATGTAATTTAATGATCATTTTATTATAGTCTATGTATATTTTTTCAGAAATTTCTCATTTACAATATTAATAAATTAAGAAAGAGATTAGCAAAAATACATGCACGGCTTAGTTATAAAATCTTTCTTGAAACATAAGCGAATTTTTTTTCTTACGACATATTATAATGAAACATGTTATAAAATTACTGTTGTATCTTTAAGAATTTGCTTATATCTTCTTTAATAAATGGTTCTGAACATAGAGAAAGAGTAATGTTATTTTATGGAGTCAGTGTATAAAAGAATGCAACTGCACAAATTTACGGTAAAAACATATCTTACTTAATTTCAAAATATGATGGAATTGTTTAAATTTAAATACCTATTTTACAAATGTAATAAGTATAATTTTTGCTCATTTATTTTTTCAAGAAGCCCATCAGTGGCTGAGTAGATAAAAACATAAAATCACTGAACATTGATCGCGGTTCTGATCAACAGACTGGTAATGTAGAGTTTCCCTTTACGTGTCTAACACCTAAATAGGGCCATTTTCCCATAGAACGTTTTCCCGGGACACATCTTTTCCTTGACATACACCCTATGTGTTCCGTTACCTTACATCTGTGATTTTCTATTGGAGTGCGAAAATAACATTTTCAGAGGTGCCGCAAAATGTAATGGCGAGCAGCACCATAACACTTCTTTTGTGTATTACTTAAAATATGACAAGTTCAATAATTCTATATTGATAAAGAACTAGAGGTGCTGCAAGAAAAAATTATCAAGTTGATGTGCTTCTATAACAAAAATATTGAAAAACACTGCCTTTTATCACAATCCAATTTTGCAAGACGAAAAGTTTCTGTACTAAATAATTTTGATGATTTCATAAAATTATTGAAAAATTTATTTTGAAACTTAGATTGCCTTTAACGCCTTAAACATAGGCAGCATAGAAGTTTATAATAATTAACAGAAATTTAATTAATTGCTAGATAAAACCGTTTGTTCTTAATTAAAATTGTTATTTTTAATTGCACAATAATTAATTATGACTCAATGCTTACTTGTATTCTTCGATACGCAAAGCCTACTTATTATATTAATGCAGTACACTTAAATTATCACAGAGTGTGAAAGGGATGACATCAAAGGAATTGGGGATCCAGCTTTCATCAAACCAACAAACCCAAACTCTCTAACCGATCTGCACCAAATTTTTCCTACTTATTCTCTAGAATGATGCGGAAAATATAGATTATCACAAAATCTTTATGGTAGAATATATTTTCTGTAGTGTCCTAGATAGCAACTGTGAAAAGTTTTATCCAAATCTGTCAAAGAGTTTAGAAATTCATAAGGAACACGCAGATTAAAAAGTATCAAAAGGATAAAATCAGGGGAGAGGTTACGGTTCTGTGGTAACACGTAATTTTCCGCAGGATCCTAAATAGTAATTATGAATTTGGTTGCAGATCAGTCAGAGGATTTAGGTTAGTTGGTTGGATGAATACGGTTACACAACATATGGATGATCTGCAATGAGTTGACTCCCGGGAGGCTCTTCTATGAAAAAAAATGGCTCCTATTTAGGTGTTAGACTCATGAAGAAAATCCAGAAAACTCAATGTGGCCAATAGCTGATAAAAACTACCAGTAATCGGTAGTTTTTATTCACTCGGCCATCAGAGAACGGAGGTATAGGAGTTAATAGGACAAATAAAATCAGGGGATGGGATGAGATATCGGGATTTCATAGTAGCCTATGATTTCCTCAGAATCCTAGAAACTATGAGAAATTTAACGCACTTCGGTCAACATGTTTTCTATATGCATGAAGCATGTTTTCTATATACTTCTAATAAATTTATATAGACAGGCATAATATTTATATAGACTACATAGATTTAATATCTAAATATTAAACATAAGATGTCAGAATTATTAGGATATTTCTTATTTGGAATCCTAAAGGATACATGAAAGATGTAAATCATAAATTGTACATATTTAAAACTTAAATTGAAAGAAATATTATTTAAATTACAAAAATTATCTCTATCACAAATATTTAAGATCTTCCACTCATTTAAAATACTGAAAACTATATATAATCATTTTTGTTGTTATAAATATTTGAAGTATTCGTAATTTAAACGCACACACGCACACAAAAACAAAATATATTTCAATTTAAATAATTTAAAGTTTAAAGAATATAAATTCTCATGAATTTAATAAATTTGATGTCTTTAAAATTTTATTCAAAACTGTAACTTTCTGTGTATTTTATTAGATTTTACTGAATAAAAATTGTGTTCAATTAACGTTCGTATATGCATTATATAATGTGGTGTAAATAAATTTATTATTCTATTTAGTAATTGTTAATTAATCAATTAATCAATCAGAAATTTAAAGCCAATTTTGACGATTATCATCCGAGATATATACAGATGCGGTAATTTCTCGTATGTGTTCTATACTTACACAATTATAAAATATTTGCTATTTTT